CAACCGGATCAAAAACCCTCGTCTAACACCCTAAATATAGAAAACCGTCGCTATCACGGAGGATTCCCACGGCCGCACTTCCAAGAGAAGACCAAGGCAGGGCAGATTGAACCGGTCACGCTGATTACACACCCGAAGCAACGCTCTCGGCGTTTCTAGGCTCCAGCCGCGGGTGACGCGCCGGCACAACGCTTCCTGCGTGACGTACCATGGTCATATATGCCAAGTGCTAAAACCACCACATGAACCAAACAGAACAACAGAACACTACATCGGTAGGTTCATCAGAGCCTTCCGGTGGTACTTAACTTCTCTCTGCCAAGGACCTTGGTCAGCATATCGGCGTGCTGCTCTCCAGTCGGAACATACTCTGCAGTGATCTTGCCCGACTTGAATAGCTCGCGAATGAAATGGAACCGCACGTCGATGTGCTTGCTTTTCGCTGAGCTGAACGGGTTCTCGATTAAGGCGAGAGCCCCCTTGTTGTCCTCAAGGACCTTGATCTTCGCCCCACTCGTCTCGGGCGCTATGAACGACAGAACGCCACGCACAAACAACGCCTCCTTCACGCCCTCCCCGGCTGCCATATACTCTGCTTCCGAGGTCGACGGAGCCGTCACTGGCTGCGTCTTGGTGGATGCACACACTGCGGTACCAACTACGGTCACAGCTAGACCGGTCGTAGCACGCCTGACTACTTCGTTGTCAGCGTAGCTGGCATCGACAAACACGCTTAGGTCTAGTCCTGACCCCCGTACGTAGGTGATGCCGAAGTCCTTCGTGAAGTTCAGGTAGGACATGATCCGCACAAGCGCGTTCCATATCCTCCAGGTGGGTGAGTGGGCGATCTTCTGGAGCTTGTTCAGAGGCAGGGCGATGTCTGGCCTCGTCAGCTTCGTCCACATCAGGCATCCGATCGCCTCCCTCACAGGCTTATCCACCGCGGGCTCGTCATCTCTCTTCGGCCCTAGGTCGGCATCGGTGGCAGCAGGGGTGAAAGCGGTCGTGGTCACATCAAACCGCTTCAGCATGCTCTCAATGTATGCTGTCTGGGACAGCTTGGTGATGCCCTTTTCTACATCCATGGCAATGAGGCGCTCTCCCTCGTCTGCCGCCACTAAGATGTTATCAACGTAGATCACGATGAGACCTACGACTTCTCCATCCACTACCTTCCGGAAGACACACGGGTCAACCCTGCACTGCTCGTATCCATTCTCGATGAGGGCATCGGCAGCTTCAAACCCCCACTCACGGCCACTCTGCTTTAGGCCATACAGGGCACGCTCAACCTTGACCACCTTGCCGGACATGCTACCACAGCCTTCCGGGAACCTGAGGTATATTTCTTCTTTTAGCTTAGCGTGGATGTACGCTTGCTTCACATCCCAGTGAGCGAGTTTCTTGCCCTTTTCAGTGGCTACGGCAATCACCGTCTTGATAGACGCTGCAGACGGGCACGCTGAGGATGAGTGGTGGAAGTCGATGCCGGGGATTTGAGAGAAACCCCGCGCAACCATACGGGCCTTGAAGTCGACTATCAGGCCCTTCTCATTCGTCTTCCAAGAGAACACCCACTTTGAACCTATGGCCTTCCGCCCCTCGGGCAGCTCCTTGACCTTGGTGAAGGTTCCAGTCCTGTCGTGGCCATCTTNTCCTTGTACGTCATCGGTACTGCTTCCACATCACTCGGCTTCTGCCCGATATGCGAGGTCATACTTGGCTGTGGGTCTGGGAGTGGTTGCGAAGACCCGCTGGCGTCGACCTCGGCCCCGAACGCCTGCTGTTCCGGGCCCAACACCTCCTGCATCTCGCGCCTGTACATCTCCTCCATACGGCGTGTCTGCTCCTCGTCCCACTGCTCCTTCACAAGCGAGTTGCAGATGTAGTCCTCAACAATCCCCGTCCCGCCAGTTTCCAGGATGGTCGCCAGCAATGCCTCTTCCGGGTCCGGTGTTTCTCCGGGCCCCGGCATCTCCCCGGCACCTTGCATCTCCCGGGTCTGCTTCCGCGTGCGGCCACTCTCAAGCCCATGGCGCAGCGGGCCAGCGTTCGAGGCGCCCCAGAGGAGTTTCTTCCCTTTTAGCCCGCGGGGGTAGCGGTCGTCGGCTGGATCATACTTCAACTTCTCGAGGTTCCCGGAGTCGCCGGGATCACCATCGCTACCGCCGTCCCCACCTGAGTCGCCGGACTCTTCGCCGCCCGGGCCGCCGGCACCGCCGGCGTCACTGCTGCTGCTGCTCGGGCTGCTGCTGCTGCTGCTGCTGCTGCTGCTGTTGCTGCTGCTACTGCTGCTGTCGGTGGGGCTGTCACTGCCTCCGCCGAAGTCGCCCCTTCCCGAAGGGGGCGACGGGGGAACGCTGCCTCCGTCCCCCGGAATCCCGTTGCCGGGTGCCGTCGGCGCCTCCTCGCGCACAAACGGCGTCGCTTGCCCTGGCCCACGAGCCTCCATCACGTCGAGGTCGGACTCACTCTCTGAGTCGCTCTCCCCCCCCCAACCTTGGCGTGATGTATCCGCTCTGCTCTCGCCCTCCCCGCACTCCTCGTCATCTGCGAGAGGTAGCAGCTGCGGGGGAGCGGGCGATGCAGCGGGCACGTGGCGCCAGGTGAAATTGCGGGTGGTGATTACGGTTCCAGCTTCGGTTAGCATGCGAACGCAGTCACGGGGGTGATTGTGGGCAGGACCAAGGTACCATCCTTTTTCGCCCTTGGGTTGCGACTTTGCTTTTCTTCTCGACTTGAACACGGCTGGTTTGAGAAACGGGTAGGTAGACCCGACAGGCAGTGAGGAGTCGTGGAACATCTCGTAGGCGGATTTGTCTCCCTCGTTTGATTTAGTGGCGGTGCAGTTCAGCTGATGGCATGCACACGAAATGGCCTCGGCCCACAACCCGGGGTGGTTCGGTGCGTCGGGGAACAGTTGCGTCGCTTGGATGCGTGACGCAAGCGCGGCATCAGTGATCAACCCTAGCGCTCTCTCCGCTACACCGTTGTATTTTGGGGTGTGAGGGGGGGTGAACTCTTGTTTGATGCCGTGTCTGCGGCAAACTTCCGCAAACTTCCCCTGGAACCCGCCGCCACCGTCGGTACGTGCGATATAAACCTCACACGGAACCCCTTTCGTTCGGTTGTCCGCCAGGACCTTCTCAAACCCAACCACTGCGTCAGACTTGTGTTTCAAGAAGAAAACACGCGTCCAACGGGAGAAGTCGTCTCTGATGATCAGTGTGTACCAGTTGCCACCAATGCTCCTGGTTTTCCGTCGGTACGTGCGATATAAACCTCACACGGAACCCCTTTCGTTCGGTTGTCCGCCAGGACCTTCTCAAACCCAACCGCTGCGTCAGACATGTGTTTCAAGAAGAAAACACGCGTCCAACGGGAGAAATCGTCTCTGATGATCAGTGTGTACCAGTTGCCACCAATGCTCCTGGTTTTCATCTTTTCCCCCAAGTCGAGATACACGCGAAATAACTTCTTAACTGCGCGTGTGCTCGTGCTCTTCCGGACGGGTTTCACCTGTCCCTTGGACATCGAACAGCCAAGACAGGGTAGCAGCGGTCCATCCGTCAGCTGCACTCCCTGCTGCTCCGCCGTGATCCTGAGCAATGTCTCGTGGGCATGGCCGTGCGCGAGGTGGTACTCGTTGAGGTCAGTAGGGTTGGCTGCTTTCGCATCGCCAGGAACAATGAGTGCGGCACAAGCGGTGTGTAGCGTTGGCTTTATTTGACAGCAGCTTTCCAGTCCGGGGGAACCACACCTCCCCCCCGGCTTTCGTGGTCAGCGTGTGGCCCCCCTTCATCCCCGAATACGTGTGGCCCTCCTCCGCCAACGAAGACAGCGAGAGGAGGTTGAAGGGGGCCTCGGGTACTCCACCATTTTCCGTCTGTAGGACTAAGGTCACATTTCCGTATCCTAGAAGAGGAACGAGGGCCTTGCCGCCCTCGATCCCCTTCACCCAACCGCTACGCTCACGGTAGTTCACGAAGTTGTCTGCACATCGTCCCTTCGCCTCTTTTCCTTTCCCCTGCTCCAGCTTGTCCTTGATCGCCTAGTATTCGATCATTACTTCCTTTACCACCCCGGTCCGCATCAACTCCTTCGCGTGTCGCAGGTTGTGCTTTGTCATGGCATACTCGTCCGAAAGGGCATCCAGGAAGAGGTGAAGGATGAACGTTTCGTTGACAGTTAGTCCTTTCTCGGTTAAGGACTTTGCGGTTCGAAGCATCTCATATAGGGCGTTTTGAGGGTTTTCACCTCTAAAGAGCTTGGTCGACGTCAGGGACTTGAGGTCCTCTGACGGCTGTACAGATGATTCAGGGTCGTGTATGGTCTTGAGCTCACGAAGAGCTCCCTGGGGCGTCTCTGCTCTCTTCATGATTTTCTGATCTTTTAATTCAACGCGTGAGACAGGAAGTTCCACGCGTGGAATGCGAGCTCTATTATATATAATACTTGCTCGATCCGGTACTGCTGTGACAGCGAAAACTTGCTCTTTCCGCTGTTGACGGGGATCTCCAAGCTCACACTCTCTTCAAATTGTTCCAACAGATTGTCGCCATTAGCTGCCATGCGGAAATCATTTAGCCATTCGTTGAAATCTTTCGATTTCCCGCTGAACGGAGGAGAAGTGTACCGCACACTTTGGCACCCCGTCGCTGGGGTTGTGGCTCCGTATCCAAAGCCAACACCAGCACCGCCATCTCCCATGGCCCTACTATAATCCTGGTTGTGAGCAGCGGCTACTCTCACCTCTTTGGGGACAAAGCCCCCTGCTTCGCCGCTGTGTCGCCCTGACGGGCCAGACTCTCGAACAGGTTGGCGCAGGTACCTCCCGTCCTGCGCACTCCCGGTCCACGGTGCCCCTCCTTCGACGTTCGTGGACTCCGCGGCGGCGCTCTCCCTAGCATCGCCGCGATCAGCGGCACCCTACATGGTGCCAGCTGGCTCCTCCTTCTTGCTTGCCTTCATGGTATCTTCCACTAGCGACATTAGCTGGCTCATCTGATCCGTCAGCGAGCTAACTTGCGTCCTCATGGGGCACGAGCTCTTCTCTTGACCTCTTGCTGTCTTCCGCCGCAGAGTCGCTGGAGGAGTCACCCCCATCTTTGCGACCTGACATTCCTAATGGACTCTCTCTCCCTCGAGGGACTGACACTAGTGTGTTCGTATATATATGTCCTTTCCTTGGAAAGGTAAGACGTTTTATCTCTTGTATTAGACACGCAAGGGGAGTAGGGAGATGTGAAGCCCACTTTGGAGTTCGAGGGGTCCCCGCACATGCAACCATTTCAAGGTGTACATATGCCCCATCTGCGTGCCCTCTGTTGTTGCCGGTAGATCTAACGAGTCCGTATCCAAACACACGAACATATATTTGAACCGCGCTGCAGATGCCTGCCAGGGGATACGATTGTCTTCGCTCCACTGCACTTTTTGTTTTTTCTCCCATCATTGGACTCTGTCGTCTGCCCCTCTGGCCCCTATTCTCCACGTCTACTAGCTAGACGATCCAACCGGGGTCACACAGGAGGGGGGGTTGTACCCCCTCCTGCGGTTCCTGCCTGAGATATTTTATCGCGAGAAGGGTACAGCAATCCCTTCCCTCGCGACTTAAGAAGTCGATTCCGGTTTACTAACAACAAGCTTAGACTAGCAGCGCGCTTTCATCCTAGACCATCCAGGATGTATTTAGTGAGAAAAAACTCACTCTGCCGGGACTCGAACCCATGACCTGGCCCTTAGCGGGCTGCGAGGGTACCCACTGGACCACCGGGGCGACTAGACTATGTGCAAGGTAGGCCGCTGATTGGCTGGCACTACATCACTATTTCCGAGCTAGTTCTTCTTTCCTTTTAGTGTGGGATTTACCAGTGGCATCACCTTCCACGAGTGGTCGGTGCCGCCACTCTGTCGCGAATAGGAAAGATCAATAACTTCAATTCTCGTTGTGCTGATTTGGTAGTGATTGAACATTCGTATACTCGACGCAGTAACTTGCTGGAGAGAATAACTAAGATCAATACTATCTACTCAGGGTGGGTGGGTGGTGACTTCTCCCAAAACCTCCCTTGTCTCCTGTTTTCCGTGGCGACGCTTGGTTTGTTTGGAGAGTGAAATATATCATCTCGCTTATCATAATACTGTCTCTTTCCTTGGGGAACGTTTTGCGAAACGTTTCACCTTTGTCGACTCTTCCTTTCAGAATACATCAGTATTTCCGAGCTAGTTATTTCCTTATAGTGTGGGATTTACCAGTGGCATCACCTTCCCCGGGACGGTATCTGCCATCCTCCTAAACTGTTATCTCTCACACTATCTCGGATAGAAGCATTTCTCTCTCATGTCTTAATTAATTTGTCCGTGCACGTTCCATAAGTCATTCAAAGCATCGGTGACCGACCACAAGCTGCCAAATGTCGGCTTTGCTCACTCAACGAGTTCTCGTTGAGCTCTCTATACTGAGCCTCTGTTACCCCTTGAACCATGTCCTCGCCCCCTGAACCTGGCGCCACGGCCTCCATCAGCCGCATATATCGCCATGCTGGCTTCGGGTTTTTCCAGTGCGCTTCCTGCATGATGGATGCGAGAGAATCCCCTGCTAATGCCCGTGAAATCGCTCCGCCCGACCGAAACGAATGCAAAGAAAAATCTTGCCGCTCCCCTGCTCGTTGAGCATACCTCTTCACCGCAGCTGACATGTACTGTGTCGTGACCGCCTTCGATTCTCTTACAGTCTATCCTTGCTGCGCTTCCTTGTCGATAGAAGGAAACAAATATCCTTTCGTCATGTCCCAGCCTACGCACGTTGCTATCGCGACCAACTGCTGTTCCACTGCTCGTACTGGGCAGATCGACACGGTCACCTCATCATAAGGAATAGTCAAAATATGGTCCGCTCCATCCCGCTGCGTCTTCCCCATTGAAAGCTGAACATCAGTCCACTGTGATTTGGTAAACGCAAGATGCGTTGCACCAAGGTATTCGTCAATTCTGTGCCTCGCTTCGTCGTACTGAACGCGCCTGCTGACGAATGACTTCCCCAAAAAATCCCTTGTCTCCTGTTTTCCGTGGCGACGCTTGGTTTGTTTGGAGAGTGAAAGACATCATCTCGCTTGTCATAATACTGTCTCTTTCCTTCAGGACCGTTCTGCGAAACGTTTCACCTTTCTCGACTCTTCCTTTCAGAATACGCACTTTGCCGCAGCACTATTGCTAGTGCCTAAACAACAAACTCCGTAGGTAAGTCCGGTCATGACAGTTTCTTCCCTTGCATACGGGATTGCTTTGAAAAAAAAACGTGAAATCGCGTGTTTGTTCGTGAGGTTGAAGACGACGGTATGTATTTCGGATTCCGTCGTTTCATTTCATCCAAACAACGTACTAGTTTGTTTAGAGGAGGCATTTTCGAGAAACGTAAAGATCCAACCGAACGACAAACCACACAAACGACTCAGGACCCCGTGTTTTCGTCGAACTTTTATATCGTGACCTCGAGCACTCTCGTCAGCAAATGATTCCGCTTGGCCGATGTAGGGGGTCGAGCCTATCAGAAAATTGGTGTGACCAAACTGGGTGAGGCAGCCACTCGAGCATTACTCGCTGTAGGTTGGTCGCTGAATGAACCTACTTACATGGAGTAGCCCCAGTGGTCTAGTTGGTATCCTCGAAACCTTCTGGAGGTCAGGCAGGATATGAACCTGCGCGTGAAATCACAATGGGTTTCGCGGCAACCCAGTGTACGAGTTCAGCAGCGACCGGAAGACCCAACGTCACAGAAAACTCCGGAGTCGCTGCCCCCTCCCGCCCCTCCTCGTTCGTCGAAGTTGCCGCCACCTCCCGCTCCTTCTCGTGCAGCGAGGCGGTACTACGGGAACCAAGGGGCACCTGGGATCGCGATTGGGGAGGGAAGATGATACGACGATGGGGGTAGGGCGAAGGCAAAGCTGCTGCTCGCGGGTCCTTGTGCAGGGGCTCCAGGTCCTCCAGCCGCGATCGGAGCGCCCCATGCTTCGCCCTAGCAGCTTGGAGATACGCCTCACGCTCCGCCAGAGCAGCCGCACGCTCCGTCTCCTGCTTCCTCGCAGCAGCAGCCCGAGCAGCCTCACCTCCTTTAAACTTGGCGTCAGCTGGCATTACACGGTAAGCTGGTGCTGGACGCGGCTTCCACATGCTGCGTGTTGTTGCCACGCTTTCTTCACAACCACCGGGTTGATTGTTATGTGGTCTCACCACCCACGAGAATCTAGACTTAGCCTTTTGTCTGCTTCCTCTCCTGTAGAGATGCTGGCTTGTCATGCTTTTGCGAAGCGCCCGCGGGACTGGGACCTTGCAAAGGATACGCGCCTCGGAGGCCATCGCGATGTTTTGGGTGATTTTTCGAACGTTCGCCGTCCCTCAAAAGCTATTAAGTCTGCATCGGCGGTCCATGAAGTGATTTCTGTGGCGGATACCCTCTGCATGGAGCGCCCTGAGTTGCTGGCCTTGTGTAGTGGGACCCAAGATGAAAGCATGCTTCCAACGTCTGCTACCACCTCTACTGCATTCATGCCGGCGTACCGGCCGATGTCCGCGGATTTTCCTGTTGTGCTCTCCGATTTGACTCCGCTTGCATTGACTTGGAGCGCGTTGTGTGCACACAAATTGGGGTCAGCCGTCCCGCCAGCCTTCCCTCTATTTTTCGAAAATCACATGGCACTTTTTTTCGGGGAATCGTTCACCCTCAAAGCAATTGGATTGGAAACCTTTCAACAGCGCAAACCCACAGCGGTCTTTGCTCGCACGTCGGCACCAGTTGCGGAGGAACGCCGTGCTGCTCTGCGTGTCTTTTGGTCGGAAAACCTCGTGTCTCCATGGAACACGGGCCCTTTTGTGCTAGCTTCTACTGCTGTTTGTGCGTGGCAAGGAATGCGTTTGGACGCTTTTTCTGCTTGGTTGGATCCGCTTCAACCTCGTGGGCACCAGGCTTTTATCACTGGGAGTATGCTATCCTGTGGATATCTCCGCCTTTCGCATGGACCTCGGCTTGCTTTTCCTGAAGTTGCACCCAGCTTTACTGCTTCTGCTGCTCTTGGTTCTGCTGCCTCAACTGCGGTTGGTTATCCTACATCTGCTGTTTCTGGCTCTGCTGCCCTTTCCACAATCGATCGTAGCTACCCTCTCTCTGGCCCTGTCTTTCTTAAAAAAGAGGACAGTATGTCAAGCGGCAAAGTGGAACTCCTGGGCGACAATGTGGAAATCCTCGACTACGAACCCGAGGGCGAGGCTCCCACCGCAGAGCAGTTTCCAGCGGCCGGTGCGGGAGACAAGAGCCGCCCCATGCCCATCGTGTTCACCGTCGATAATTTGCTGGCCAACATCGCCACGGCAGATCCGGCGGAACTGGAGCCGGCCTACAACACTGGACGCACCTCTCTGGAGGATATTGTCGTAGCGGCCCGTCTGTCGTCTGATTTTCCCCTTTTCGTTTCTCCTTTCTCGCTTCCCCCGGAAGAAAAATTGCTCCTCTTACCCCACGATGAGTTTATGGCCTATCAAGCGTTGAACGAGATGTGGTACAACGGTCTTGCCAAAAAGGTCGCAGACGCGGAAGCACGGGAGAAAGCGGAGCGCGAGGACGCAGAGCAAAAGGAGGAGCGTGAGGCTGCTCGGGCTGCTGCTGCGAGGAAGCAGGCGGAGGAACGTGAGGCTGCTCGGGCTGCTGCTGCGAGGAAGCAGGCGGAGGAGCGTAAGCCTGCTCGGGCTGCTGCTGCGAGGAAGCAGGAGGCGGAGCGTGCGGCTGCTCTGGCGGAGCGTGAGGCGTATCTCCAAGCTGCTAGGGCGAAGCATGGGGCGCTCCGATCGCGGCTGGAGGACCTGGAGCCCCTCCACCAGGACCCGCGAGCAGCAGCTTTGCCTTCGCCCTACCCCCGTCGTAGTATTATCGTCCCTCCCCAATCGCAATCCCAGGTGCCCCTTGGTTCCCGTAGTACCGCCTCGCTGCACGAGAAGGAGCGGGAGGTGGCGGCTACTCCGACGAACGAGGAGGGGCGGGAGGGGGCAGCGACTCCGGAGTTTTCTGTGACGTTGGGTCTTCCGGTCGCTGCTGAAGACGGAGCATCGTTTGCGACCGCAATTACGGTGTACGAGTTCCATGTTGACGATACAGCGTTCCTGTCCCGCCCACTGGAGATGCCAGCCGAAGAAGTAACTTTCCACGATGAGGACAAACTGGCAGCTCTTTTTGCGTGGGCTGGCATCAAACAACTCGTCCGTGCTCAATTTCCCCACTCGCACACCGTTGCTTTCGGGCACATTTATCATGCCCCCTGCATCGCGATACTTCCCCCTTCTTCACGGCAGTCCGTGTTCCGGCTTTTGTTCGCTCTCCGTCGTGCCTCTTTTACCAGCGGTCCTCAAGGAACATCGGTGGTGACCGAAGATGGAGGACTCCAGCTGCCTCTTGCCCGTGCTGCCTCCAACCACGATTTCAAGCACGACCTACAAGTCACCCGGCCGGCCTCTTCACGCCCTGCACATGTTTCTAGTGGGGACAAGGATTACAGTCGGTCGGCGGCTCCGGTGTCCAAGAGCTGGAAGAACCGTTGGGGTGACCAAGATTCGACGGCCAAGAGCGGGACGGACGACCACCGCCGCTCCACCCAGTCTTCGCGAGGGCGCGGCGCCGGAGATGGCGGGCGAGGGTAAGCCGTGGGGAACCAGCCTACGAGGTCTTCGCCGGCGAGCCGCCACCGTCGGAGCAGGAGTCGGAGCGCAGAACGGCGATAGCGCGCCAATCCTTCGTCTGGGCGTGGGCGCAGCCGGAGCGGAGACCGTCGTGGGAGAGGCACACGCCTTCGACTAGGCGTAGCCGCAGCCGGAGCCAGAACCGGAGCGGGGGCAACAGCAGGGCGACCAGCACTGACAGCAGTCGCGGCGGAAAAGGGGGACGGAAGTCAGGCCACGGTAACAGGCAAGTGATCCATGATCGGGGTGGTTTTCGTAGCTCTGGGTTGTTGGGGGAAATAAGGATGCTCCAGAAGACGGTTCTCTCTGTTCTTCACCGCTTGTTCTACGTCCGCCCGCCGATGAAGGCCAACCGATCATGTCTTCTTTGGCGTTCAAACTTGCCAACATGCAACTTCGTGAACATTCAGCTGCTGTGAAAAGCCATGCCCCTGCCCATGCCGTTATGGATCATCCCACATCTTCCTTGCCTTTGGTCGGACGTGTTGAGTCACCACGCCATGCTACATCACACGCCTCGACTTCGGCTTCCTGTACTGAAATGCTGTTGGAACAAGTACTCACTCTCCGGCGAGCAAATCAAGTTTTGGATGCTGCTGCCGACGCGAATATACAACCTCCTGCGCCCTCCCACGCTCCTAGCGTGCAACCACCTGCCCCATCATTTTCCCCACGAACGCATCTGGCACCGATGCGAGACCACGCTTCGAGCTTTTCGGGAGCTCCTGTAGGGCGCGATGTTCGTGCCGAAACCGCTGCCAGGGCCACGTCAGCATCATCGCTATCAGTCACGATGTCGGCGCCAGTACCGGTCGGACCTGCGGTGGAACCGTCAGCGTCGGCAGCCTCAGCCCTGTTGCAACAGCCTTTGGTGGTGTCACCCCCCCCCCTCCAGCGTGCGTCTATTCTGATTGATCCTGACTCTGCTACCGGCCACATCGTCGAGCCAGTGGTTCAAGCGACATCGCCATTGACTCAGGACGATGCTGGTTTGCCTTTGTCTTCCACGGGAGCGAGAGCGAGGCAGCAGGCTCTGGGCGCTGCGGACACCGCTGCAGCGGAGGCCGACACCATCCGCATTCAAGACAAAATGGACAAGCTGAAGCCGGAACAACTTGACAGTGTCACACGCTTGCCCCTCGGTCCTGATCCTGATGAATTTGCTCGCTTCGCGTCTAGCTGCAAGGGTGCGGTCACAGAGATCCTCGACAAAAGCGACGTCAAGCGCAAGCAGACTTTCAATTCCTCCACCTGGGTCACCGGATGGCTTCGGTTGTTGCGCAAACGTGTCCGTGCTTCTGTCGTTGAAGGCCAAACCACCAACCGTGCCACGCTGGAATTTCTTGATGCCACCTTCCTACAGGTAGAAAACCATCTGCGCGAGGAACCGGCAGGGCCCTCTACGTACGCCTTCTTCATCCAGAAATTGGCGGCTGCCTGGGATCCTCAAGACCAGAGCTCGGGGATTGATGGTCTTCGCAGTTTTGGCGTATCCAACGGCGAGACTTACGGAGAATGCATTCGTCGCTAATAGGCTCTGGCCATGACCGTCATGGTTTCCCACCACGCGTTCAAGCCTTCGGATGCGCAAGTGCAGATAGCTGTTCGAGACTCCATGTTGAAACAGTTTCCGGTAGTGTCTGGGCAGGTGTACAAGGATGAGCAGCTCTCCATGGAAGCCCCTTTTTGGCGACATGCTTCGGGTCTGGATGATATGTGGGATGTGTTGGACAAGCGTGGGCTCGCGCACACGCCGGCGGTGCATGGAGATGATTTCTTTTCGGTATCTTCCACGGATGCTAGGAGTTCGTCTGCTGTTTCGCGTGCTGTAGCTTCTTCGGCGTTGTGTTCGACGGTGACCCCTTCGTGGAGCCAAGGCTCTTCGGCCGCCGTGATGAGTGTGGACCCTCTACCTAATGATGATCGGGACCCTTTTCTGTTGCACTACAGTAACTGGCCGTTGCAAGGACACTTCCAAGAGGTGTGCAACGTCGCTAGTGAGATGGCTCTAACCAAGAATGATCCGCCATTTCACCCCCTTGGTCTCGGCCGAAGAACGCCGCAACGCGCTTCGACTGTACAAGGGCAAGTGCCTCAACTGCTTAGGAGAAGACCACTCCTTCAAATCCTGTAATCGTGGTTTCGTGAACGCCACCGGCTTGCTTAACAATGACATCAAGTTCTGTATGGAAAAAGATCCCACCCTTTGGGGTCGGTGGAAAAAGCGTATGACCTCGTATAGACGCCCTTCGGGACGCAACCCACATCGAAATCACCCCTTAGGACGCGCCCGCCGCTCATCGGACACATCGGACACGAAACAGTCCTCACACATAGAGCTCTCGTCGGAGGCTTCCACTTCGACTAAGTGGGGCTGGAGGGGTAAGAAATGACAAGCCGATGGCGGAGTTCAGCCGGTACTACCGTCAACAGCAACCACCGTGCACCCTTTTGGAGTCGCCCAAGACGTTCGTGTACAGATATTTCTTTGGATACTCCCCACGCTCCTCAATCACATCTAGTTTCTCNACAAGCCGATGGCGGAGTTCAGCCGGTACTACCGTCAACAGCAACCACCGTGCACCCTTTTGGAGTCTCCCAAGATGTTCGTGTACAGCCTATTTCTTTGGATACTCCCCACGCTCCTCAATCACATCTAGTTTCTCGGCCCGCCTCCTCGTCGTCCGCCTCATCGTCTGCTGGTAATGGACATGACAGACTCATGTCGGCAGTACCTTTGTGGTGTGGGCGACAGGGAGGCAAGACATCGAGTGGTTCCTCCCTGCTCACCTCGTCGTCTCGGGTTATAGAAGGAACAAGAACCTCGCCTTCAACTATTCGTCAAGACTCTCCTGGTGTTGTCGGCCGGGCCTCTCCTCAGATCGCACACGAGCCTTCTTCTACACTCGTCGGGAACCCCGTCGATCCTCCTTCTCTTTCGCAGCTTTCGTTGTCTTCGACCGCCCGCTGCCCCCGTGTGACAGCACCTGATACGAATGCGTATTCCTCTGCTGCCCGCCACGTACTGACTGCACCACTGTCATCGGGATCGGATGGTAGTGCCCACCATTCTGTGGAAGGTTCGGCTCCTTTGTCAAGGGGGAGTAGTCAAGAGCGCCCT